TCGAGAGTCACACGTACAATCCGTACGCCAACACCACTTTCAGATACAGCGACGAGATATGAATACCCATACAACAGCAGGATCTATACACGCTGCCGTGCGAGAGTTTTCTCTACGTCGAAGGTAGACTGCATGCGAAGAATAATCCGCCGCCCGCGTCGAGCCGCGAATCGGGTAAGCCTGTCTCGGCCTCTAAGGAGCCGTCCGTGTCCTCGACGCCGGCGTGACTTGTGAACAATTGCATCGCCTTTATGTTCGAGGAGATACGTTACGAGCTCGATGGCGTGGAGATCGATCGTAATCTCAACGTCGGAATAACTAGCACGATCAAGAATTATGCCTCGCTGACGGCCGAACGAGGCAAGATCTTGAAGAACGCCGGATGGAATCTCGCGACTGGACCGAGCGGCGTCACGTCGACGGGCGACTTCAACTTCTGCGTTCCTCTCGATACGCTGCTAGGTTTCTGCGAGGATTACAGGCGCGTCATCATCAACGCGCGTCACGAGCTGATTCTGATAAGAGCGCGAAACGACAACAATTGTCTGATATCGCGCGAGGAATTCAAGCCGAGAGTCGAGCTCGCGAAGATACAGTGGCGCGTGCCGCACGTGGTGCTGAATGACGTCAATAAATTATCGCTGTTGCGCACGTTGGACAGCGGCAAATATCTGAGCGCGCCCTTTCGCTCGTGGGATCTCTACGAGTTTCCGCTCCTGCAGAGCACGACCAAACACTCGTGGGCCGTAAAAGCGGCCACGCAGCTCGAGAAACCGCGTTACGTCATCTTCGCGTTGCAGACCGGAAGAACGTCCTGTCGCATCATGAAGATCGAGAGTCACACGTACAATCCGTACGCCAACACCACTTTCAGATACAGCGACGAGATATGAATACCCATACAACAGCAGGATCTATACACGCTGCCGTGCGAGAGTTTTCTCTACGTCGAAGGTAGACTGCATGCGAAGAATAATCCGCCGCCCGCGTCGAGCCGCGAATCGGGTAAGCCTGTCTCGGCCTCTAAGGAGCCGTCCGTGTCCTCGAGGATGCTTCCAGATTCGACGCGTGCAATCTGACCAACGTAAAGTTGTATCTCAATTCCGACTTCTATCCGTACGACGATATGAATTTGGACTTCGATAAGAACAAGATCGCCGTACTGTATGACGCCTATGCGAGATTTCGACGAACGTATTACGGATCCGCGAGCAACGAGACGCTTCTGATTATGAACAAATTTCTATACTGCGGCCCGCTCGTGGTGATAAATTGTTCCCGCCAAAACGAAGCGATTACTGTGGACGTTCGTCTAGAATTCGACTGCAAGGACAACGTTTCTTCTAACCACGGCGTACTGCCTAATTATTCACGATCGCGTGGTGGAGTACAATTCGCTGACGAACGTCGTGCGTAAGATCCTGTAAGACGGCGCGTCGAATGGAGGGAGAGAGGAAACTCGAAATCGCGAAGATATCGGGGAGAGACGCGAATAAACGTCAGTCTCTCGCGACGATGACCGCAACGACGATCACGGGTGATATCGCCCCACCGATCTTCGTCGATCTGCAGGGCTTCGTTATCAACGAGCGATTCGTGACGAAGGAGATGGCGATACTCGCGAACGGCATAGATCTGACGCATCACGTCTTTCGCGCGCCGATGTCATGGAATCTGCTGACGAAGAGCGAGAAGTCGCAGGCCTGTTCGCTGACTCTTAATCACCACGAATTTCACTGGACCGACGGACACATGGAGTATAGGCACGCGAAGCAGATCGTTCGCGACGCGATATATCGAGGGATCGTCGAGGGATCTCGAGTCGAACGCCGCGGTGACGATCTACGTCAAGGGTCGCGAGAAGAAGAAGTGGCTGGCCGACATCGCGGGAGAGGTCGTGCAGCAGCTCGACCTGACGATCGAGACCATCGACGCTGATTACGAGGATATCGGACCCCTTCGAACGCTAGCCGCGACTCGCGTCTATCGCTGCGGCTATCACTCGAAGAATTGCGCCTTGGAAAACGTGTGCAAACTGTACAACTGGTGATTGGAGAGACGCGATAAATTGCGCGAATGTGAACAGACGCGTCGTGCGATGATTCGCGCGCCTCGCGCGTTTTCCGCATCGTAGATTAGTTTTGTGCGTACCCTTATCGACGACTAACTTTTTTATCTCGCGCGCGTCGACTTATCGCCTACCTAAAAAAGTATTATTAATACTTAGAAAGATACTATTAATACTAAGAAAAATAATATTAATATTAAGAAAAAAATAATATTAAAATAATATTAAAATAATATTAAAATAATATTAAAATAATATTAATTAGCGAATAAACGTTAACTCGTATCGCGCGTACGCGGTTAAACGCATTTTCCGGCACTTCCTCCGGAGCAATCGAGAATTTATCGCGCCTCATTAAATTACCTCGTTATATTTCCACATCGCACGATTTTTTCATATCGTCTTAGATTATAGCATTAGCATTAGCATTCGACGGAATCATAACGACTCGGCGATAGCGATATCGCGCGATTTTTTCATACCGCCTTAGATTATCGCATTAGCATTCAACGGAATCATAACGACCCGGCGATAGTAATATCGCAGGTATAAATTAACGCCGAGAAACCGTTTTTTCTCAGAATGAGTCTCGCGATCGCGTTATTGAGTGCATCTGATATTGCAAGTGTTCTCAGTGCGTCCAGTGTTCCTAGTGTGTCCAGTATTCATTCATTCATTCATTTATTCATTCATTCTCGGAGTTATTCTTTCGCGCGAACGACGATGAGCAACAACGATGAAATTTCGAGATTGCGGAGAATGCTCCACGAATGCACGTTCACGCCGTGGATGTGCGTCTGGAAAATAAAGTACATCAGAAATCTCATGGATGCGATCCTTAATATAGCGGTAACGTGGAACGTAAGTACCCGTTCATCATCGTTCTTTATTCTTTCGCTCTCCTTCGAGGAAAAATACGACGTACATTGATCGCGCGACATTTTTCGAGGAGGTGGAGATCCGAGGATTTGTGAACATACGTCGCTGATATTGAATACGACAGACGAGACTGAAGCAACGTCGATTCTTAAACTCGTTATGATGCGACCGGCCGTCCTATAGAAAATGGGAGAAGCGCTCCCCTAATATCTACGCCGACATATTTCGGCTAAGAAGATTATTCGGTATGGAGCCGCTCGTCTCGGATCATAGGTTTAAAACCGAACATTTCTGCGACGACGATTCTCCTGTGGAGATATGGTACGATGACGTGAGGATCGAGGAAACGAGTTCCGTCCGCACGGACGACAGCGGATTTTAACCGAGGTATGGATCTCTTTTCGTATAACGCGCCGTTCTTTCCTTTCGCGTATCTCGATACGAATTATTAATACATGGCTTTACATATTTCAGACGTCTCGTCAATCTCGACGTCGAAGGACAGCGTCGAAGGACGGCGCCGAAGGACGGCGTCGAAGGACAGCACCTTCCCTTCCTCCCGATCTCCGCCCGCATCGCCCCCCCTTCCCTTGCGCGCGTCGTTCGAACACTTCTTAGATTTTTTTGCTAAACTGCCGATCTGAAAACGACAAAAACTTCTTGATTCCATTCGGTTCGTATCGTTCGCTATCATACGACATGTCGGCGCACTCTTTCAGATACACGATCCTCTATATTCATCTCTATATTCATCCATTTTATAGGGTCATTTATGGGTCATTTATGGTTGATTTATGGTTCATTTATAGGTTATTTATAGTTCATTTATGGTTCATTTATGGTTCATTTATGGTTCATTTATAGGTTATTTATGGGCTATTCATAAGTAGCTTCCCAGGTAGCAGAGTGATGAAATCTTAATAACATTTTAGTAATGTCAGTTGAAGAACGCGTCAGTTTGAGTATATAAGTCTTGTTTTGCCGCTCCTTTTTTTTAAATGGTCGTTTCATATGGGTCGTTCTTACAATCGTTCTTACAGTCGTTCTTACAATAAATTTTCCAGTTTAAATGCACATGTTTTTGTAAGACCGTTTATTTTAGATACGTAATTTTTTTTTAAATGGTCGTTTCACATGGGTCGTTCTTACAGTCGTTCTTACAGGTCGTTCTCACAGGTCGTTCTTACAGGTCGTTCTTAGGTCGTTCTCACAGGTCGTTCTTAGATCGTTCTTAGATCGTTCTTAGGTCGTTCTTACAGGTCGTTTTTACAGGTCATTTTTTACATACCGTTGCGCGTTAAATCATATTCAATCGTATATATGTTTAATAGTCATATATTTTAATCGTATGTATTTTAATCGTATATATATTTAATAGTCGTATATTTTAATCGTATATATTTAATAGTCATATATTTTAATCGCAAATATTTAATAGTCGTATTTTGTAATCGCTATATTTCAATCGCTATATATCACATCCATCGTCGATAGTCCCACAATTATCGAGAGCAAACAGGGAGGAGGACTCGAAGACCCCGCGTCCTCTCAAACATTATATTAGAATATATTAGAATATTATAATATATTAGAATATTATAATATATTAGAACATTATATTAAGCGTTATATTAGAATATTATACATTAAACGTTATATAAGTATACGTAGATCGCGCAAATTTTTTTGTATGAATAAAGAATCATTTTTTGTATGAATAAAGAATCATTTTTGTATGAGTAAAGAATCATTTTTTGTATGAATAAAGAATCATTTAAAAAAAAAAAAAAAAACGTTCGTTCTTTCGATCACCTCTCTAGCGCGTCCGAGAGTATCTTCCCTCCCCTCCTCTTTTTGTACGAATAACGAATCATTTGTTTCTTAAAAAAAAAAAGTTCGTTCTCTCGATTGTCCTTCTCGCGCGTCCGAGCGTATCTCCCCTCCCCTTCCCTCCTCCCTCTCCCTCGTACGACGCTTTCTCGCGTTCTAGAGAACGATATATCGTCGAAGGACTCGCGCGCGCGATAGTTCGCGCTAGTACCTCGCGAAAGCCATGACGCGCGTCGCGTTATCGCTCGCGCTGACGATATCCCTGCTCGCGGTCGTCGCGGCGGCACTGACCTACGATGACGTCGCGGAGGCGTCCCGTTATCTTCGAATCTACGGCTTTCTGGAGAACGAGGAGAATCATCAGCAGTCGTCGCTATTGGACAACGCGACCGCCCTAAGCGAAGCGCTATCATTGTTTCAGGAATACTATGGCCTGCCGGGAAACGGCGTTCTGGCCGTGGAAACGATTCGCGTCATGCGCAGGCCGCGATGCGGCGTCGCGGACATTCACGCTTACAGCCCGTTGACGAGAAAGTGGTCGAGGACGCATCTCACGTGGAACTTCAAATTAGCGAACAGAAATACTCTGCGCACGACTCAGAGCGCGTTCGCTCTGTGATCCGAGCAATCCTCTCTGACGTTCTCGCGCGACCCGTTGCGCCCCGATATACTGATATCCTATCAATCCGGCGCTCACACGTACGAGAACAGCGACAACGGGGGCTCGTGCCCGTCGCCGTTCGCGGGACCGGGATCGGTCGTCGCTCACGCGTTCTTTCCGACGGGAGAGCCCAATCAAGTGACCGAGGTGCACGTCGACGAGACGGAGCCGTGGTACATCACGCTGACCAGGCCCTCGTCGGACAGGCTGTATCTCTTTCAGACGCTGACGCACGAGATCGGCCACACTCTGGGTCCGACTCACAGTATGAGGGAAGATTCGGTCATGTATGCGTACACGCCTTCGGAGGAAAGGCGATATCCGCTCAGGCTGAGCATAGAGGACGTCATAAACGTGCGAAATCTCTACGGATCGAGAGAGACGACGATCCGAGAGAATCCTACGATCGTCGACGCTACTCCGACGACCGCGGCGACGACTACGACGACGACGACGACGACGACGGCCGCGGCGCCGCCGACGGCCGCGAGGACGGTTAAGCCGCCGCTCGCTCCCTCCGATACCGCGGATCTATGCGCCTTGAAGCACGTAGACGGAGCGCTAATCATGAATCGTCGCTTGTACGTCGCGCGTAAACGCAACGTGTGGCCCGTCGATATGAGGGAGAGACGCTACGGAGCGCCCTTCTCGTTCGCCGACTACTTCAAGTTCCTCCCCCGCAATCTCACTCGCGTATCGGCCATGTATCAGAGACCCTCGGGCGATATCGCGATATTCGCCGGCGACTACGTCTACCTCGCCGATTCGAATTTTCATCTTAAAGCGGGATGGCCTAGATCCGTCGAATACGTCGGATTTCCCCGCGACGCTAGGATAAACGCCGCGATAAACACGCACGCCGGGCGCAGCTACGTCATATACAACGACGATAAAATAGCTGAGATAAACGACTGCGCGATGACCGTCGCGAGGCACGGCGCTCTGCGGAATACGTTTTCCGGGATACCATCCGCGATAACGGCTGCCTTCCGCCACGTCGGAAATCTCTATTTTCTGAAGAAACGCGAGTATTACGCGTACAGCGAGTTCATCGACGCGATAATCTCGGTCGGTCCCTTCGATCTTAGTATACTGGGAATAGAATGTCCAGCCGATGGCATTCTGCATTGATTGAGCGAACTCGTCTCCAAGCTGTATCGTCTGGAATACGCGTCCTTCGAAAGACCGCGCAACAACGACGACGATGACGACTAAGATCAGGAAATCCTGAAACCTAACATTAAGATTACATTTAATATGCTGTTCTAAACCGCTGTTCTAAACCGCTTCCGCTGCATTAATTAACGCGCGTCGAGAATAAAGATATCGAGACGATGATCGAGATCGCGTCGTATATAAGGCGCGTCTCGATCGTTGCGCGACATTTCCAACGATACTCGCGATTAACGCGCATATGATTCTAAGCGAGCGTCTCCGACGAATCTCTCTCTTTCCTCGCGACAACCAACGTTAACGACGCCGTGTTTTCCCTCGAAGCCCTATTCGCGAGACCGATCATGTTCGTCGGACTTGGACAGGAGTACCGCAGAGTGTTCGGGGACTCATCCGCAACGCCCGCGACTCCGTCGGCGCCGCCGATGACGGGCCCCTTCGTCGCCCCGCCTAACCGTCGAGACGATTACGCGGCTTCCGCCAAGGACGAGGATATCACTCGCGATCATTCCGACACTCCGCCCGTGATCAAGAAAGCTCGACTGTACATCGAGGACGAGTAAGTATGCGCGACGCTTCGCGAGTTACCTCGCCCGAGCGCTCTCGATCTCCGCCTCGATCGGCTATTTCGTATAATAACGTCGTATTTTTTTTCTCCAATCTCGACAGATGGAATAGAAACTGGCTGTTCAAATGCGAGATCAATTTCGCGAGACATCCGATTCGAATATTAGGAAGACGATATCCGCTGACCAAGACGGCGTACAAGTACATCGACATCGCCGTAGCTGTGAAGCTCTCAAGTCGACATCGTCCTAGGAGACTGCCATGGAAAGGAGATATCTCTGACGCTCGACATGTAGAAGGATCTGCTCGCTCTGCGCAACGATATACTGCCGTATTTCGAAAACGATTTGGACGAGGCTATGGCGCGCCCTCCGACGTCCATAATCATCGGAACCGTGACGCTTCGATTCGACAAGATAAACAATCTGAAGACGCTGCGATTCGAGACGTCGAAGAATCGCATCGCTCTGTCGCACTCCACCGTGAAGGCGCTGTTCGTTCTCTATGCGCTATGCGTCAATCGCATCATCGCGTCGTTGACCGGCATACTCGAGACCGTAGACGCTAAGTTATCGCGTTTTCTAGATATCGCAACGGAGACCGACCACCCCGGCGATATTCCGGAAGCGATTCGTCGACACGAGCACTTCAACGCGAACGATCTGATCGACTGCGAGTTACACGCTCTGCTATTCGGACTCTATCACGATTTGTAAAACGCTACGCGCGACGAATAAATGTCGCGATCTCGAACCGTATACTTACCCGTATAACTGCGCTCGAATGAGGCGAAACGATCGCGAGTACCGATATTATTCTCGACGTATGTATCTACGCATGTAACTTCATGACATAATAAAAAAATTTTACACGTAATTTATTCTCTCTCTCCTCGATTTACGTCACCCTCATCTCTCCTCGATTTGCGACGAATTCCCTCCTCCTCGAAATAAATCTAATATATACATCGTGTTACGTCCAGGCCCGAGGAAGGATGGGCCGAAGGAAGGGCGTAACACTTGTATCCCGAGAACAGGTGCCTTAAGGGCAAATGTCTCGGGTCGAGCGAGCTTGCGGGAGAGCCAAAGATAGGTCAACGACCACAAGGATCAATTTTACTCTATTTTTGGTCCGAATGGCCGCTCGACGGTCCCCTTTTTGGTAAAAGAACTTAATCCTTTTTACCCGGGACGGGCCCAAGTGCGATTCAGGAGCGTGGGTGATGCAGGGGAATTGATTAAGTTAGATTCGAAAGAAATAAAATTAATTAAATTTATTGTACATTATAAAAGAGATAAAAACTTACATAAACATTTTAGTTACGGCTCTAGTACAATATTAAGTGTGATTGTTTGTAAGTGTGTGAGTGCATTAAGCGTGATTGTGTGTGTATGTGTGTGTGTATTAAGCGTGATTGTGTGTGTGTGAGACGGAGGGTTCCACTAGGGAAGCGATTATTATCAATAAAGGAAGATGGGGGAAAGGAACTTAATAAATAAAAGATAAGACTTACTATTTGAAAAACATGGACAAATCGATATCAATTATTGCTGGGCCCTCTTGGCGTTGAGGATGGCGAGATATTAGCGCTAAATTGATTCTGGATATAGTTGTTGAAGAGGGTGGTTGCTGCTGGGCCCCCTTGGTTAAGATTTTTGCACTGACTCGATAAGCAAGTATGTAACCGAACAACTATGTAAGTATATAAGTAACTGAGCAAATACGTGAACTAGCAAGCGAAGAAAGAATGAATGTATGTCCGACTGACTGAATGTGTGTTTTTGAGCGTCGATTTGTCCAAAGTTCGCGCTTATATATCGTTTTGGATTACCCTCTCCCAGCGGGGAATAAGGGAAGTTGACGAATAGAAACCCTCGTTAGATTTCCGTGGTCTCCTTCCTGTCCCTACTTATTTTACACATTTTAAAACAAATGCAACAAATCAGAATTTAATTACATTAGGATTCTCAGTATCGGAAGTGGTGATAATTTATGCTTTGTAAGATGCATCTGTTGGAGATAAGGGGATGACTTTTACTACCCCCTTGATATAAAACGGGTGCTTGTCGCGACATCCGCTCACTCACGTTTTGTAAATAGTTTTTTTTATTTTCTGTAGCTTGTTTGAATTTTGTGAGTTTTTTTAGTGATCAGAAAATATCAAATTCGTCTAACTGATTGCCGCCTTATTTAGCCAGATGCTACTTTTATCAGTCCGTGAATATCTGATTGTTATTCTAGAATATTTACTGAGAATCCTACTTCAATTTAACTATCATTAACGATTTTCGGAAGTCGTGCATATGTGCACCAGATAAGGAAAAGAAAAGAATCGTGAGCTCCTCTGGACGTAACACCCCCGCCGTTAGACAAATGTTGGGGATGTAGGACACAACATTTGCAGATGGAATTATCTCGATTCTTTTCTTGCCATTTATTTTTATAACTTAGTATTTGGGTGGCCTTTCGGAGGCGTGCCTATCACTATTGTATATATGAGCAATTCTTTTACAAACCGAACACCATTCTGACTGACACATTTTTTATTTGGCTGAAACTTTTTTTACGGGTTCTATGTCGAAAAAAAATGATACGTGTTCAAGGAATTTTTTTTTTTTTTTTTTTTTAAATAGAGGGAGTTGAAAGTTTGAGATTTTCGTGATTTTTGCCTTGGAGACTCATTTTCAAAAATTCATAACTCCGGTTCTTTTTAAGCTAGAGAAAACTTTTTTTTTCATTTTGAAGATAAAAGAGTGAATTTTAAGAAAAAAATAGTTTCAAAAAAATTTATAAAAAATTTCATATTGTTATAAACAATTGAAATGTTTAAATCAATTTTTAACCATGGCCCCCAAATTTTAACAATTTCTTAATACAACCATCGTATTCTACGTCAAATTTTCTATAAAAAACATGTATTTTATTAATGGAGAAATTATATTTACTGGTAGAGATAAATTAATTTATCTAGCGCGGCACGTCGTATCAGAGCGTAGGTACCTCTGCACGTCTCATTTTCTAACCCCACATCGTTTTTCTCAGTAACGTTAATGATTATTCAACATTTTCCATTTTGTCAATCGAGTAATAATTATTATTAGCAAACAATACTTTATTAATAATTGAACAAAATAATAACGTGTTAGCATATGAAAAAACATATTTATTTCTATTTTTAAACATTACTCTTATTCATTAATGCCTAATATGTACCTTATTTTTAAATGTACAAAGCTATCTTAATATAAACATCTGAATGTTTATTTAAAGATTTTTACAATTGTTTTTTTATCATCTAATAAAAATTTTTTAGCTTCTAGTATCTGAAGAGAGATTGGAATCATGCAATGAAACTGTAAAGTGCCTTTTATCGTTAGAACTTTTTGAAAACGTGCTGACAACATTTGTTCTTCTTTTTCATACTCATCATTTGTCGAATAGTGACACGTTATATTATGCAAAGCTTCTGTTGCCCAAGTGAATAATTCTTGGGGTGTTCGAATAGGATTATTTATCCTTTGAAGACTAGTTCTAGCAGCAAGTCGTTTTAACGTTCCACCTATTCCATCACATGGTCCCTTGCCCCACATGGGACGTTGGGAAAAAATGCCATTCGGCTGCTATTCCAAAATCTTGTAAATGATGAGTAATGTTTATAAAATTTTTCTTGTTTTTATACTGTGCGCTTGCACCGTCCGAAAAATATATTATTTTATCAACACCTTTCAAATTCGTTTTTATAATTTCAGCTAGTTGTTTTTGAAAGAGATGAACAGCAATAGTGTTATGATGTAAGCATTCAGAAATGGAAACGAAACTTTTGACTTTTACTACTCCTTCATTATCTTTATAATAAATTGAGAATGGATGTATAGTTGCTTGATCATTATTCCAGTGCACACCTTGTACAGAATTTTGTAATACAAATGCATAATTTTCACTAAAATCACATATAACAATACATTCATTTTTCATTATATTTTTTTTCTTATAGTTCAAGAATTCCATTTGTTTTTTAACTAAAAAAGAATGTAGCAGTAATTTTTTCAAGCCATTACTTAAAAGTTGTAAAAATTCATCTACAGTAGATATTAAAGTTTGTAGTGAAGTTCTGTCTATTGTCACCCACTTTTTATACTTAACATTTTCGATGAGTTTGTCATCGAAAGTTTGTTGTAATTCTTCAATAATATTTTCTACACCAGGGCACTTATCACATAATCCCAAAAAACAATTAGCAGATTGAACATCACACATCATACGATCCAAACAATCATGATAATTAGTAATTGGTCTGTTGGAGTCAGCTGTGATACATTTCAAATTCGCCCCATCTATCAAGAGTTTAATATTTTCGTGTATCGGACACACACACACCGAATGAGTGCCAC